TATATATATATATATATATATATATATATATATATATATATATATACATATATATATATATATAAAAAATATGAACATAGAAGTCAACACTTAAAGGCGACAGTGTGTTTCATGCTAGATGCAATCGTCAGGCCTGACGACTGCATCTTCGCCTTTTTTGTGTTTTTTATAGTTGAGTTCGATTTTAGTGTTTTTTAAACTACAATTCTCCATGATTTTCTTTGAGGCCCAATCGATAAAAGCACGTCAGGCTATATGACGTTTCCGTATAAGATACATGTTCGATTCCTCTCGGAGGACGAATATTTTCTATGAAAATTTCTCGGACATTCAGGCCGGTAAATGTTGTTTAATACTGTTTATTATAAACAGAGCATTTACTTAAATATTTCTATCTATAAAAAAAAAAACAACTCATAAACATGAAAAAATGTCTTACAATAGTTGTCGGACTTTGTCCATTTCGTAATAATATGTACCTAACAATACTTACAAATGTAAAATAAAATAAGAATTATCATAAAACTAAATTAGAATAATATTATTCTATGTTTAAAAAAATTAAATAAGAGTAGGAAACCTTATCCGTAATGAAATTGAAGAGGTACAATTTATTGGGTTTGATTACCAAACAAGGGGTGCGTATTATGTGTGAGTAGACGCATTTTCCCACACTTTCAGCACAATTTTAGGGGTGTGTATTATGGTTGAAGGCGTATTATATATGGGGAATTATAATAATTGTGTTTACTAGATATCAAAAATCCAAAGCAGTCAAATTATCGGATGTCAGTGTCTGTTGTGGAGTGTCATCTAGAGGTTTAATAGAATCATTTTTATTTGAAATTACTGTTACTGGTCAAGCGTACCTAGACATGCTACGCAAATTCATATTACCTGACATACATCACCTTTAAGAAAATGATGAATTTTTCTTTCAGCAAAGTGGTGCAGTGCCACGTGAGAGCTTATCTGAATGAGAATATTCAAGAGCACTGCCTAGGATAAAAGAGGTACATTCAACTCCCCTCCACGTTCTCTTGATTTAACTCCTGCAGAATTTTTCCCTATGGGGGACCCCTAAAGAATGTTGTTTATCACAGAAAACTGACTACATTGACGGGCCTTAGACATGCCAATGAAAATGCATCTGCAGCAATCCCACTGGAAACATTGGCTAGCGTTGCCCAAGCAGTAGTTCAACGTGCTAATAAATGCCTGGAAGCTAAAGGCCATCATTTTAAGCATCTCTTGAGATTGTATTATCTCGTGATGTCCGAATAAATTTATTATTACAATATACAAGTTTTTCCTTTCTTGAAGTGTGTACACATTTTTGGTCAGACTTTGTGTGTCTGTATGTATATATATATATATAATTACATATATATATATATATATATATATATATATATAAAAATCGCGTATATAATCAATAATCAATCGGCAATATTAATGCTATTATTGGCGATATCCCATCGCTAGTAGAATATAATGTATGCATTAAAATACTGTTAATCCATAGTGATGTGATCCTCAAATCTATAAAAAAAATGTCTGTTGTTTCCAGTTTATATTTTTTTTTAAATGTAAAGAATTCGAATAATAATTATTCATCCTCAGGCATATTTTTTTTCTTTTAAAAATTAAAAATTGGAGACAAAAAATTGTTTGTAGACCGAAAAGATGTTTTTTTTTTTTTTTTTGAATATGTAACTATTAATTGAAAAGAATTGTCCAATCTCGAAAATGTGCAAATTAAAGCTAAGTTTTTCAAAATTTTAAGTGAGAATTTTTCATTTGAATTTGGTAAATCCACGTATTCTATTTTTAAAAGTGTTTTCAGTTAATATGTCATAAAAGATTATATAGTTCAATTAATATAGTGTTATGTCTTAGTAGTTTTTTTTAAGGAATTTTTTTTTGATAAATGAGGATCATATCATTCTATGGATTAAAAGTATTTTAATGTGTAGGTTATATTCTACTAGTTACTCGATGGATATCATAATAGCATTAATATTGCTGATTGATTCTATGCGTGATTATTTGATTTATATATATATATATATAATATATATATATATATATATATAAAAATCTTGTGTGTGTGTTTGTATATATATATAAATTGTGAAATTAACTAAGTCAAACATTTATTTTTCAAATTTCCAAAAAAAATTTATGCCCTAAACAGGCAACATTTATATATTATATATAACCTAAATGTGCTAGTATTTACTATTAAACAGGAAAAAAGTAAAAGAATTTGTCCATTTAAATATATGTTGTCATTTGTTTAATATTTTGTTATGCAATATGAGCTTTATAATCATTAAAATTTGTTGTTTAACGCACATAAATTTCAAAAAAAAACCAGAATTTTTTGAAGCTAAATTGTTTAACACGTCGGAAAAACGACGGTTCCGTGTAGGATAAAGTACGAATCCTGAACGTTGATTATATATTTAATCCAAAATTGGAATTCAGAATAGTAAATGTAGTTAAATTGTTTATTATAAAAAGAATGTTTTACTTAAATATATGTATATAAAAAAGTAACGTATAAACAGAATATATATATATATATATATATATATATATATACACACACACACACATATATATATATATATGTGTGTGTGAATATATATATAATATATATATATTTATATATATATATATATATATATATATATATATATAATAAAGACATTTTATGTTTATACATTCTTTTATAGATACGAATATTTAGAATCAAAAAATGCTCTGTTTATAATAAAGAGGTTTAAATAACATTTACCAAAATGAATGTCTGAGAAAAAAAATACAGAAAATTTTTGCCTCCGACAGGATTCGAACCTGTATCCTATATGGAACCGACATTTAACTTGACGTGCCTTAACCGATTTGGCTACAGAGGAGCGTTCGGTTAGCAAGGTCGAATTTACAAACTTTAAACTTCAATCTTCCATGAATCTCTCACGTAATTCAGGCCGGTAAATGTTGTTTAATACTGTTTATTAGAAACAGAGCATTTACTTAAATATTTTTATCTATAAAAAGAATGTATAAACATAAAAATGTCTTAAAATTATTGTCGGACTTTGTCCATTTCATAATATACATACATACACCCACCCACCCTATATATATATATATATACACACATATATATATATATATATATATATATTGTGAACTCTGCAATAGTTCTTAAAACCAGAAAGGCTTTTAACAATTCTATTACACTGCTGACAGACAAATTTATTTTGGATATTTTTGTCTCATGCACGGTGAATATAGTTCTTAAATTACTGATGATTCGCGGTACAAATCAAG